TATATATATATGTGTGTGTGTGTGTGTGTGCGCGCGTGTGTGTGTCTGTGTGTGTCTGTGTGCGTCTGTGTGTGTGTGTGTGTGTGTGCCCCCAACCGTGGCATGTTGGTAGAGCAGTCTCTTTGAAGTTTGTAAGTTTCCTCAAGTCACGGATTTAAATCCCCTTTGGCCAGTTTATCGGTAGTGAGAACGGTCCTCAAAAAGTTAGGCACATGAGAGTGTGTCTCATATAATAGCCTCCAACCATTCTTATATATTTGCGTTATATATATATATATATATACATATCTGTGTGTGTGTAATTTATTATATAGTGGGCCTTGCATTAATACTATTTGGCTTAATTATTCAAGTATTATGCACATATCAATATATTTTAAATAAATTTAAAATCCATCCTTATCTAATTACTTCTCATTAAAAAAAAAAAAAAAAATTCTGCTAAGGCTATGAAATTTATTGGCAGCTATTAGCTACAAATTAAGAAAAAAATAATTTATGGCTGAATTTAAATTTTAATTTCATTTTAATTTTAAATTTAGAATTTATTTTTTTTATTAAAATTAAAGTCAATTTAAATTTATAAATTTTAGAACAATTGATTCGATCCCATTTAAAATTGTTAAAACTTAATATGAAAAAATAATATCAAATTTAATATAATGAAAAATATTAATTAATCTTATAAATTGAATTTACTTTTATATACTTTAATATACAGCTTGTGAAAAAAAAATAATCCAAAATTAATTTATTATAATTTAGTTTTGGCCCATGCAGGTCTCGAACCTGCGACCTTCGCGTTATTAGCACGACGCTTGACGCTCTAACCAACTGAGCTAATAGGTCTACTGTTGCGTAAAAATATTAAATTTTAAATTTATTAATTTTTACACATTTACATAAACACCATCCAACTCTTATGTATTTCGTTTCTTTCTTTATCTCCTTAACATAAGGGGATTTGTAGCGAGAGTGATTAACACAAGTCTCATTTTCAACAACAGTCTCCTTTGATCTTTTTGTTTCCTTCGAAACTTGTCTAGCTATCGAAATAGAAAGCCAAGCCTTACCGAACGTCCCCGTCAGCTGGGCTCTTGTCTGCTATGGTGACCCTTCACTATGGTCACTATGGTGATTCACTGGGGGTAGGGGACGGTCCTCTAAACCTAGTCCCTGCGTTTCCATTCCAAGCAATGGTGGGACTGACTCAACTAATAAGGCTCGCTGGTCGGATCAAACCCAAGGCCAAAGGACAGACACATCAGAATAATTGGTTGAATCCCTTCATGTTATGAATCTCTTTGACAATTACAACGATTTCTTCGTGAATCATCAGAAGAATGCCAATTACGAGTATTTTAACTTTTAAAGTGATACACATTATCATGCATGTATAAATAAGGTGGTATATGTGTGTGCATGCGTGCATGAATGCAAAATGAGTGGTATACATGTAAATTCTCTTAGAATTTGTGCATGAATGCATAGAAAAAAAATGAGTGGTATACATGTAAATTCTCTTAGAATTATTAATTTTATAAATAATATTAAGAGATATTAAATTAGTCCTGCGCTGTCGCTATAAATATTAATTGAAATAAGGCTTTTCGGTGGCATCAATCTTTTGTCGTTATATCATTTTGATATTTATAATATTAAGAGATATTAAGTTAGTCCTGCGGTGTCGCTATAAATATTAATTTAAATAAGGCTTTTCGATGGCATCAATCTTTTGTCGTTATATCATTTTGATATTTCTCATTGAGCATAATATAATATGTTCTTCAGTTACAGAATTTGGGATATTTGTTGAGAAAAACGAGGGAAAATGTTCTTTTATTCGTATTTTTATCTCATGTTTATAGAGGCGTGTTTTGTACAATTACAGAAAGGATGGAACGGTTATGAAAACCGTTCTTAATGTCATTAAGACTCCAATTGATTGTATAGATGTTATGGTATATTTGTATTGCAATTTGAATTTCAACGTTGGCTAGTTGGCTGGATGGCTTGAAGTCAATCAACCGAAGCGACCAGCCGAGTGACATTCGTACCCTATGGAATACACATAGTGAGTCGTCGCTTATTTTTCGTTCAACTTGAATTTTACAAGGCTCGTGTCTCGTCTGTCTGGTTGGTTCTTCGCCTTGATCGGATCTCCCAATATTGTGAGGTCTTAAGCGGATTTTGTCGCAGTCCACACGCGATATCCGACGAGACTTGCAGCCGGGATGATTCACGTCTCACTTTCCGTGTGTCTTGCCGCTACCGGGCGGAGAAACATCTATGAAGTTTGAACATATCCCAGGTTTGGAGATGTAGCTTCATGCTCGCTCTTCAATCGCCAATTGATTGCTCACCTCGAAAGGAAGACCTTTTCATCTTGGTTGTTCGTTTTCTTTGAGATTCATGTTAGTATTTTTGGTATATGCAGTTACGTCCTCTGATTTTTCTTTTTTTTTTAATATTTGTCTTTTAGAAAGTAAAATATTATATAGAATGAAAAGGACTATAAAGCAATTGTGCCACGTGATTTTGTCACCTTCAATTAAGTTTGGATTAAAATATTAAATTTTCAAGTTGGACCAACTCAACGCCTTAATTATTGCATCTTATCCCCTCACGCGTTCTTAGCTTTTGTTTTTTTTTAAATAAATATTATATTACATCTCTAAATAAAATGTAAAAAATTTGAATTTAATTTATAGATAAATCCATTAAATTTATGAAAATATCATCTATATTTTTATTTTAAAAATATTTAGAACATTTTATCATTTGTTTTAAGGATATGAATTTTTGTTTGTATTTTTTTTAAGAAAAATTGTGTTTATTTATTTTTGGGTTTTACCTCAATATTATATAGATCCTAATTAATATCATGTGAACCCACGTGCCTACAACTTATGAGTAGTGTTTTAGGGCCCGTTTGGGCCAGCTTATAAGTATGGGGGCATTTTTGAAAATGTCGTGGTACCGTTTGGATCGCGCGTTTTGCGCGATTATCCGAAAATACTGTTCCATTTTTACACTAAACGCAGGCCGCAGGTCGATTATCCGAAAACACTGTTCCATTTTTACACTAAACGCAGGCCGCAGGTCTAACCACGCGGTCGACCCGTGAGCCGCGTTTCAAGATAAGCTGTTTATCCTGAAAAGCACAAGCTGTCATAAATGCACCCTTAGTCTTTGGGACAATTGCTCGTCAATTTTATTCTTCAAATTACCATCATGTTTGGGACCATTGCTTTTCAATTTTATTTTTTAAATTAAAATCAACTTAACTACAATATAATAATTTTGGATTCGAATCGTGCATATTGCTCTAAATAATAATACAATCATCGTAATCTTTTCCCGCTTTAGGTTGGAAAAATATTGCGTGGTGACGTGGCAGACGGTGGTTGGCCGCCCGAACATACGGTGTACTGACAGAATATTTTCTCCTTTAGGTTTTATTTCTACTATTCTCTATCTATTGTAATATTTGTCTCATAACATTTTTCTTATAACTCATCCTCTAGCTCGGATGTGCGGAATCATAAATTTTCTCGAACAAATGTTGCATTCTTTAGAAATGGATAACATAGTTCTAAATTTAAAAGAGATGAATTATCTTCCATACTCCTTTGGATTGAGCTCTCTAATGTTTTGGTATGTTAAAGATCGTGTGCAAAATTAGCACTTCTTATTGATGGACTTACATAGATTCGCTATAACTTTTGATTGTATGTGCGTCGGCTTCTCTAACTTCGCCTCTTTGACTGATTGATTGATACCAATTACGAGAGTTTTGCCCGATTATTATTATTCGATCATCATCGTCCAAGAACTTTAATCAAATCGATCGTTCTTCAACATTTTGTATCCGACCATTTTAACTATTTATGTGAGGAATATTTATATAAAACTGAGACTAAACAAATTTCACATTATTACATTAATGCCGTAAATTTTTTAGGTTGTGCCATGAATTTAACGATTGATTTAACTTAAAAATCAAATCAAACATTAAAAAAAAAAATTAAAACTAAATCCAATGCTAAGTTAAATCGAATTTTATCAAATTAAAATTTTCTTAAAAGCAATTAGGAGATAAATTTATTCCATTAATATCATTCGTTGCTCCTCCCCCACACAAAATATTACGTGCAGATTAGGTGTGGATTGATAATATTTTGTGTGGTATTATAGCGATATTATATCACAATACTACTACAATATTACTAAAATATCACTAGAACAGCGCATACGATAATATCCTCATAATATTTATGTATTATCATAATATCACCAAAATATTCGTACTTTTTTCCACCACACACCTGACGGAAAAAAATTTTGCGTGTGTATTGCGTACGTCAGGGTTATACAAAATGTACATGAGGGTTATATATGTGTTATACTCCATGTAATCTCCCCGTAACCTACCTGTAACTTACAAATATATGAAAACAGAATCGTAGAACTTAATAGAAGATACATGTAGGTTTCATATAGATTACAGTGAGATTACAAAGGATATAACACAGATAAAACACTATACTCCACAAAGAAAAGAAACTTATTATTGCTGAAGACCGCTTTTTTGTTTTTGTTGACTGGTTCAAGGGCTGAAATGGTCCAATTGCTGTCACTTCAAAAAGGCATTGCTTCAAAACTAGAATTGGAAAGGTTGTATTAAATTACATGGGCCAGAAAAGTATATGGTGGAGCCAATGATTTCTCGCTCTATAATACACGCGTGTGGACTAATCAAATATTTGGACATATGGTACATTTAAAGAAGAGGTCTCTGATCTCCCATAAAGAAGTTGCCAACTTGATGAGTATTGTTGGAGATTGGGGGTCTAGATCCGGGTTTTGTCGGCTTAATGAGTTCACCTTGAGCTTGGCGATTTCACCGTAAGTTTTGACAAGTTCATCTCGAGTTCAGCTGATGGATTGAACTTGAGTGAATTCGTGTCAAGTTGGGGGAGTTCATACTATCAAAGCTTCAAGATAGTTAGGTTTGCGAAAAACTCTTGAAAAGAATAAAAATTAGAAGACAAAATTAACATTGCTGATATAAATTGTTTTTCATAGTTAATATCAAATCCAAATGTTAAATCTCGCCTCAATTGAGGGGATATAATTCATTTTCTTCATTTTTATCACATTTTTTTTTTAATTTTTGAACATTAGATTTTTATATCATACCCACTGCTTCACAACTTCATCAATTCAAGTGACAAACACTACTCGGTAGCCCATGTTGCGAACAACTTCTGGTCAACATGATGCACAACAAGCAGGAACTCACAAATTCATCAGTCTAACCTCTAATCTACCATTTAATCAAATTGTTAGCAAATATATATATATATATATATATATGCACTCCTTAGCAGAGAACTCTCTTGAGCTACACATTGTGCCAAACAACTTATTATATTTTACTTTTTCAATGCAAACATTTTTAGTCCCAACCATTAATTTATGGATGGTATAAAAAATGTATGGCATCATCAAAATACCCCTGTGTTCGATGATGTTAGATGTCATCTAGTGAGAGTCCAATGATAACACTGAACTTTTAAGGAATTTAGGTTCCTTAAAATCTTACACAAAAGAGGGGGGATGACATCATTATTAGTGGCAAGTGTATGTTAGGACATCACATTAAGACATTTTCTAGTAATATTAAAATTGTAAATATACTGGAGTTAGAGAAAAGAGATGTTACCAAAATCACAAGATGGAAAAAACTTCAACAAAGATAAGAGCCATGGAAGGAATGCATGACCTTATGGAATTTAAGGGGGATGGAGTAGCATAGATTTCAATAACCTAAGGAGTGATTGGAGCAACTTTTAATAATCCTAATTAGAAAAGCTAATAAAAAGAGCAACATGACAATATATAACCCATTAAATGGTTGAGAATTCTCATCCTAATGATTAAAAGTTTCTTTGTTATGGCTAATTGAAAGAGGAGGATAGAGATGGATAAAGCTCATTTAGGCACTTCAGTGGTTGTTCCCATAAGTTGGTTTGGTTTTGGCTTTGCAAAATTTTAATGAATCACCAAAAATGTGAGCAATGGAGCTTATCTACATAGTTTAGGAGTGATTCTGATAAAGAATTCTAGCATTAAAAAATGTAACAGAGAGTCACAAAGAAGATTTAGTTTAGGTTACGGGAAGAGTAATATTATAATGAAAGAGTAAAGATTAGAGAGAATATAAGTGCTAGCATAAAGAAGAAATAAGAATTTAGAATAGTTGCATCCATTAAGTAAAGCAGGAATTAAGCTTCATAAGCTTTGAAATTGTCAACTTTGTGTTATGGAATTATGGCATCATAGAATATGTAAGACTAGGAATAGTTACAAAAGAGGTTATTCGAAGGGTCCTCAAGTTATATTTTTAAATGCATAAATTTTTCTATGACCTAAAGAGGACCTATTTATAAGTTACCTCAAGAAGAATTGATGAGAGAGATTTTAATGAGCAATTATCAAACAATGTTAATGGTTTGAAATTGAATGAGGTACATGTTACTTAAAAAGAAAGAAGGTCATAAATGTCATGAATAAGTTAACCAGATGTGAGAGGGACGTTAGACATTAGGTCAAACATATATGTAGATGATGATTAGGCATAGTTCTTGGTGATTAGCTATGACTGTAGATCATCAGGCAAACTACTGGAATCTAAAAGCATAGAGGTTATGTCATACTTTGTAGTGGCATATATAAAAATCATGTAGGCACATATAGGTGTTGATAGTCATAACTATGAAGAATTGTGAATGTAAGATGCATAGAAGCAGGCTACTTTGAGAGTTAGATGTCACTTGACAATCAAATATAATAAGTTGACTATAAAATTGTGTTAGCAAATTGAATTCAAATGGAAGTCAGTTGTCATGATTTTGAGGTTGATTTGATTTATCAAGTCAATCAGATGTCATAGTTGGTCAATCCCCAATGCTTTAGCTAACCAGCCAATATGACCAAATTAAATACCATGCACAAGGACAACCAAATTTACAATAGCTCTAAAGAGTTCCTCATTTTTATGGACTATCATGACAATCACCGGAGCAACATCGATGCAAGGCCATCATACTCACCAACATGAACATCACTTGATGTATGAAGATCAAACAAAAGTCAACTTTTGTTATGACAATCATTGTTTAAACAATAATATAATATCGATAAGCACAATGACATTAGCATCACTTACAAATGCTAGATATCATATGGCACTCCTCTCATATCATTATTGTCATTATAAAAGAAGTTCATCATCTATCAAGCATGGTAGTATGAACCAGAAGTCACTCAATTATCACCACAACAATAACGTTAAGTTTTTAAACACGATAATATAAGCATTACATGTGGACTCTTAGAAACTATATTGCACTACTCTCTTACTACATTAGCCATCACCACAACAAAATCACAATTTGTCAAAAACGATTGCCTTAACATTCCCACAAAACCCTAAAATGGAGGTACTCTTTTCCTAGATCTAGAATAGTTGAGAGTGAGGATTTCAATAATATTGTTTTTAATTGAAAACATAATAACTTCCATAATATGCACAATAACTACATTTGTCTCACAACTCACCCTCTAATAACTTGTCATAATCTCAATTGCATCACAATCATCACACCATCACGACGTGTTGCAACTTCACTTACATCATAGCAATCTCCCTCAAAACTAACACCACATTCTCACTATGATCTAATTGTCAACCTCGGGACTTGAGCACATTTTAATCTTAAACCTCTCCATCAAGATTCATGCCATAAAGTCATCGACATTATGACCAACATTATAAACTCACTTATATCACGAACTAATTAACGACTTACAATTCAATCTCATTTGAGTTGTATTAATGTTCAATGATTACATCAAGAATTGCATTTCAACCTTATTTGCAATATTCCTCCAAGTATCTACATCATAACATTGTTTTTTTTTTCATAGTTGTCCCTCTTCCAAGATATACATAGCAACCTCGATGGTATTGTTATTAAACATAAAGACTTGTACACTTGGCACAACCATCTCGTTTAAGACGTACATCATAATGTCTCAGCGCAAGGAAATGTAATATCTTCTAATAAAACCTATGTCATAGTCATCTTTAATCAGAACTAGAATACAACCACCTTCAGAAACAATACAATGTAGTTGTTTGCATTATCTTCATTTATTTGCTAAGAATCATCTAGTACTAAAATCCCTCTAATATTATAATGTAGCCTTATTTAGCACCGTCACTTCTAAAAATGTGGTCCTCATGTCAAACATGTATCAGACACCGACACTTGTTCGCACACCCCGACAATTGTCTGACACTACAAAATGTGCCTGAATTTTTTCATGCTTTAACACTCCTTAATCATGCCTCGACACCACATCGAGCATGAACTCAACACAATTTCAAGAAAAATAAGGCACTAAAAGTAGAGAGTTATAAATATTTTTATAACCCTAAGTATAACTCATAGTTAAAGCTCCCTCCAACATCAACAAAATAGAGTATCAAATGTTCATCCAATATTCGTTGAAACCAAGCATTGGTAGTTCCATCTTTCTTTGTCAAAGTCGAGTGTCAAAGGTTCATCCTACATTCTCCAAAGCCGAGTGTTTTAGTTCTCTTTTGTTCATCAAAATCAAACCTACACCAACTGGAACTGAAGCCATAAGCGTCTCTATGGTAACCTGAACAAAAGTCATACATGTTCGTTGAAGCCGATCCAAATATCCACAAACTTGATGATGCTTGCACTAAAGCTTCTATTTGTTGAACCCAAATGGAGTCAAAGTTGTCTTAGTTTAGTAAATGATAATTTATTATTTTTTAAAATATTTAATGAGTTAATAGTTTTAAATCTATAATCATTTTAATTTTAAAAACTAAATTTTAACTTAGTTAATTAAACAATATGTAATAAAAAATATTTTAAAATTTAATAGATAAATTGAAGGAATTATTTTAAAATATATTATGTCTAATTTTAAAAATTAATTTTTATAAGCACGAGATTTCATAATACAAATTTATGTATTTAAGTCGTGCAATGATGAAAAAACATTGAAAATTTTGAAAAAAAAATGAAAAATACCATGAATTTAAATATTTGTATGAGAACTTAAAAAAATGGATGAAAGAGAGTGCTAGATTTAGTGCTAGATTTGTAAATAGGGTGCTAGATTTGTAAATAGCAATGTCTTGGGGTGCTATGCATTTAATTGCCCCATTTTTATTCACAATATTCAGGTACAAATATATTTTGGGGGAATTTACATACAAACCATACAACTCTCATATATTTACATATCTAACATCAAAACTCTCATATTTACTTTTACTACACTTTGATGTCTTAAACCTATAGATCAAAATGTACATTTCACACTGGAAAAGTTTATAATTGTAGTATCCTTAATGCAATATTAAATATTCAAGGGTTATGACTATAAATATGAAAGTTTAGGTGTTAAATATGTAAATATGTAAGAATTGTGTGGTACATCTGTAAATGAAGAGGTTTCCAATGCGAATTTGTATCCCACAAACATGACAATGGTAGATGGAAGAGTTTGACCAAAAAATACCATGTTTTGCTTACTGCCTTGTGCCATTATAACTTTTTTCCAGCCGACTATGATGAACAGATCAACCGTTGACCAAGTTGTTTCTGTTCATCAAATGAATGGCTAAGATTTCACCCGAAGCATTGCCATAGGCATATACAGAATATGACACCAACGTGTAATGGTGTAAGAAACCAAAATTTGAGTGTTAGATATGTAAATACGTAAGAAATCTGTGATGTGCATGTAAATTTACCTACAGAGAACAATTATGTCAGGTTGCACCCATCAAAATCAGATTTTTACATATATAGGACAATTTAGTCTCTTGCACTTCCTGAAATATCATTTTAACTTTCGTTGTCCTAGCCCCACTCACGTTGGGTCCGACATCCGGATGAGATAAGTGTGGATGGGTCAGATTTGATAATATTTTGATGATATTGTTGGTATTGTAGTGTTAAAAGACTATAGCAGGAAAAATGTGGTGGCACAGCAAGGTAAAATAACAAAGGTTACCTTTTTAAGATCTCACAGAAGCAATTAAAAGGGAGGTAAAGGGGACTCATCTGATTCTGACAAATTCCGGCTTCCATGAAACTCCCAGGCCTGCAACAGCAACCATGTTCTTCTCCATCCAGAAACTCCTTTTCCAACCATCAGAAACACGAAGAAAGGAGAAGAAAGACAGCAAAGATGAGGAAGAAAAGAGAAACGCACCACAAAAGCCCTCAACTTGCTCAGACTGCTTACATGGTCCTTGCCTTGGGGATGGTGAGCCCACCAACTCAAAGCACAGGGTTGCTGCCATGAACATCACAAGTACCAGAGCTGCTCGGTGCGAGTTCGCCAAGTTTGCCACATCTTCCCTCTTTTCCAATTCTCATTTCACCAACCATGAATCCATCCCTTCCCTGTTAGATGCTTTCTCAAACTTCTCAGAAGTTTTTCCGCAGTACCTTGAGACACAGAAGGCTGATGATATCAGAGAGAGCGAGTACAGCCACCTCAACGATCATGTCTGCCTTGATTACAGTGGGGTTAACCTCTTCTCTCATGCACAGATGAATCAATCGATTGCATCGTCTTCTTCATGCCCTCCGCAGCCATCGGCATGGCAGCCTCCGTTTTTCAGCATCTCCTACAAGTCTGCAAGCCTCAAATCTGAGGTACAGTATGGGGAGGAAGATAGAGGCTTTGAATCTGCCATCAGAAAGAGAATTATGAGTTTTCTCAGAATATCAGGGGAGGAATATGGTATAGTGTGTACTGCCAATAGAACAGCTGCTTTCAGATTACTGGGAGAAACTTATCCATTCCACTCTAACAAGAGGCTGCTGACAGTTTACGACTATGAGAGCGAAGCCGTGAGTGCAATGGTGGAGAGTGCTGAGAAGAGAGGAGCGAAGATCATGTCTGCGGGCTTCTCCTGGCCAGGCATGAGGATTCAGACTGCAAAGCTGAAGAAGATTTTGAGCAAGAGGAAGTCGGAGAAGAAGAGAGGTTTGCTAGTCTTTCCACATATGTCTAGGATGACTGGGGTGAGGTTTCCTTATCTGTGGATGAAAATGGCAAGGGAGAATGGTTGGCATGTGATTTTTGATGCTTGTACTTTAGGGCCAAAGGACATGGACGCACTTGGAATCACAATAATTCAACCGGACTTCATCATTTGCTCCTTTTTCAAGGTGTTTGGGGAGAACCCATCAGGGTTTGCCACACTGTTCATCAAGAAATCGAGCAGAGAAGTATTGCAAACATCCATTTTGGCAAGAAGCATTGGGATGGTGAGCATTGTACGTGCAGGAAAGCTGTTTGATTTACCAGCAGAGGAGGTGGATACTACAAGTTCATTCTCTGGCCCGATACCCACGAGCTCAAAACAGAAGCAAATTGTGAAATATGAGGAAGGTGAGACATCTGAGGTAGCTGGACTGCCGACGAGTGCAGCAGCAGAACAACAAGAAGAATCTAAAGATGAAGAGGAGGAGGAGAAGGAAGAGGAGGAGGAGAAGGAGGTGGAGGAGGAGGAGCAGTCCTCAGAAATTGTAGAAGTAATGAGAAAACCGACCAACCACAACGATGAAGAGATAGAAAATGAAGTGGATGTCGAATTCAAAGGTTTAGACCATGCAGATTCTCTAGGTCTTCTAGTTATACATAACAGACTCAGATGCATTACAAATTGGTTAGTAATTGCATTTATGAAGTTGCAGCATCCTCACTCTGAAAATGGTAATGCCTTAGTGAAGATTTACGGGCCAAGAGTAAAATTTGACAGAGGACCTGCATTGGCATTCAATGTATTCGACTGGAAAGGAGACAAGATTGACCCTCTACTTGTTCAGAAACTGGCAGACAGAAGTAACATTTCACTGAGCTGTGGCTTCCTGCAAAAAATCATATTTACAGAAAAGTATGAACAGGTCAAAGTTGCAGTTTTAGAGGAAAGGATCCATGAGAACACAGCAGCTTCAGATAAAAAAAAGAAAGAGAGCCATAATCTGGGGATAGCAGTTGTAAATGCTTCATTTGGTTATCTAGCTAATTTTGAAGATGCTTACCGGCTCTGGGCTTTTGTTGCCAAGTTTCTGGATGCCGATTTTGTCGAGAAGGAGAGATGGAGATATGTGGCTCTTAACCAGAAAATGATTGAACTGTAGAATGAACAGAAAGGCCTAGAATCCGTTTTTCTTATTGCTAAACTTTACAGATGGGGAACATAAGGGAGCATTTAAATTTCCTATCAGTTGGGAATGATCCAATAGTATCCCAGCAGATATTTTATAATTGACAGGATGCTACCTATTCATTCATTCTTTATCAATGATGTACAATGTTGTAAAAGTCAATTGAACTGGTTAAATTTTAATATTTATTTATAACATTAATGATACACGCTTGCAATAAAAATGTCAAAAAACTTTGTCATGCATTCGTTTCATATATTCACTTTTTTATTATACTTCCTTGGAATGAAATGAAAGGAGAAAGAAAAATTATCTATCAGTGATGCAAATGCTTACAAAATAATGAGAAACAGCTGGTGAATATTGCTTGATCTAGAGTAGAGGAAAAGTTAACCCAGTTTCACAGATGAGCATCTGGAAAGAAAAGAGTAGAGTGCCAACATAGTCCTCTGATTATTTATATGGAGCTATTTTGTTCTTAGAGGTCATAAACAAATTAGTCCTCAAAATCTTTTAATATTGGCCAAAATAGTCCTCAGTGAGGACTAGTTTAGCCCCTTTTAAAAGAGTACGGAAACTAAATTGACACTTTATTTAGGACTATTATGACCCTAGATAAAGAGTTAGGGACTATTTTGTCACCTTTCTGAGAAAAATGAGATTGGATCTGTCAAATATAACAAGGAGATCAGAGCTCTTACCTGTCCTGCTTCAGAAACACTCTCATATCTCCATTCTATCGCTCGGTCCCTTGCTCGAAGACGTCTCCCTAGGGCTTCTGCACATAAACACTTTATTTATGTTAAAAAGGTTATATTGTATAATATTTCTATTACCCTTGTCTAATTTTACAAGTTTGACACTTGACTCTTCTATATAAATCAAATGTAATTAATTACTGTAATATGTATGAATGATTCAATAAAATGATCATATTGAAAAAGAGTTTTCCACATTTCTTTCTTCAGGCTCATTCTTCAATTCATCTTTTTATCTCTTTTCACGTCTTCTCTTTCTCTATAAAATCTTCTTTATGGTATCAAAGACATTCAATCTTCACAGCAAAAAGCAGATCAATATTCCAAAGTCATTAAAGTTCTTCACATCTCATATCAAGATCATGGCAGCCACAACACTCACCCAAGGCAATTATATGGTAGGGAAAATTCAGATTCTCAAATTACTAGCAGCAAATGGGTATGAATCTTTTCTCAACGGTAATAGCCCTATTCCTCCCCAATTCACACCTGATGAACATGGGAACATGGCCGAAAATTAAGAATACTCTATGGAATTTTGTTGATAAAAACCTTATAGCTGCTATATTTTCCATAATTTCTTCCTCAATCTTGCCACATATTCTTCATCTTGATCATATAGCTGAAATTTGGCAGAGTTTAGAACGCCAATTTCAGTCCACAAATCTAGCTTGTGTTTTTCATCTCAAAAACGAATTGCATAATATCGCCATGGGTAATAGCACAATGGCCCAATACGTCACAAATATTAAACATCTTCTGGACAACATAGCAGTTGCAAGTTCCAAGAAAGATAATAATATACCATCTCATGCACACTCAACGGTCTTCCACCAAGCTACCAAGCTTTCAAAACAGCAATACGAACCAAAGTCATTCCCCTTTGACTGGAAGATTTTATTCGTTACTTCATAGTGAGGAATGTAATCAAAATCAAGAAACTACCAAACTCACACAACATTCGGCCATGCTTGCATACAAAAACAAAAGCAATTATTAGTCAGCAAGAAATTACTCCAATAATTCTATTCCAGGCAAAAATTTTCTGAGCAACAAACAAGCATACTCAAACAAACAATCAAGAAAAAAAATTACCACAATTTGTCAAATATGCAACAAAAAGGGGCACTCTGCTCAAAATTGTTGGCATAGAACCAACCTTAATTATAGTGCTACTTCTCCTCCTACCACAACTGCACTCACCAACCAGCTTCAGAACAACAATTCTAACTGAATTTTAGATATTGGGTCACACATGTGGGCAATGGTATACTACCCACACCAAAGCGTAAGCAATCTCTTTCTCCCTTATTTAGAGTACCTCACATCTCTCATGATCTTGTTTCAATACACAAACTAACACAAGATAATAACTGTTATGGTATGACTCATATACCATATCGGGACAGACGCTGGATCAAAGCGGAGCGGAGCGGAAGAATCTGTCCAAATTGGAAAGTTACGTGGGTTGGGGTGCGGGGGCAAAGCCCTGCGGTTTGGTACAGGGGTAATGTTGTAATTACATATTGTGTCTAGGGTCTACTCCTGGGGTTATAAATAGGTCAGTTAGTAACCCCAAGAGGTATCCCTGAATTCGGTAAACCATTTTCTGATTATTGAAAGGAACTCGCCGCTCTGCTCCCGAGGACGTTGGCATCTTTGCCGAACCACGTTAAATCCCAGAGTTCTTTTGGATTTGTGTGTTTTGTGCCGTTACTGTTTTTCTTCGCCCTAATTTTCTCAACAAGTGGTATCAGAGCAAAAGTTGTATGGGTTGAAGATGCAAGAAGGGTCTGATCTAGCGCAACATGTTAATGACTTCAATCAAATAATCACAGACCTGTCACAGCTTGATGTGAGTATTGAGGATGAAGATCGAGCGATGATTTTGTTGTGTTCATTGCCCTCTTTCTATGAACACCTGGTGACTACTCTGATATATGAGAAAGAGACCATCAAAGTTGATGAGATTACTGCAGCGTTGTTGGCTCACAACCAGCGGAAGCAAAATGCAGGGGAAAGCTCTCACGGTGACAGTTTATATGTGAAGAGTAAGCATGATCGTGGAAGGAAGAAAGAGAAGGAGGGATCTGGAAGGTGAAATTTCAGATCAAAGTCTAGAGACAAAAAGGAAATTCATTGCTACAAGTGCAAAGAGACAGGTCATATGAAGAGAGATTGTCCAAAGCTGAAGAAGCAGACTAGGGAGAAAGGTCATACTTCATCAAAGTCTGTAAATATGGTGCAGAGTGAAAATTCAGATTGCAGTGATGGCGATATGCTCTCAGTTTCATCAACTCAGTTTACGGATGCATGGATTCTTGATTCAGGGTGCACATATCACATAACACCTAACAAAAAGTGGTTTACTTCATACAGGTCAACTAATTCTGGCTCAGTCTATTTGGGTGATTATAGATGCTGCAATATAATTGGTATTGGAGAAGTCAAAATTCAGATGTATGATGACACAGTTAGAACGTTATGTGATGTCAGACATATTCCAGATCTGAAGAAGAATTTGATTTCCTTGGGCACTCTACACAGAAATGGTTTTATTCCTAAGGCTGATGAGGATAGGGAAACCATTAGAATTGTTAAGGGTGCACTGACTATGATGAAAGGAAAGTTAACTGCAGGTAATATCTACAGACTGTTAGGGAGTACAGTTGTAGGTGGAGTTCATTCTGTGGAGTCAGATAATGACAGTACAAAGCTATGACATATGCGTCTGGGTCATCTCAGTGAACGTGGGATGGCGGAATTGGTATTGGAGAACCCCAGGAGGTATCCCTGAATTCGGTAAGCCATTTTCTGATTATTGAAAGGAATTCGCCGCTCTGCTCTCGAGGACGTAGGCATCTTTGTCGAACCTCGTTAAATCTTTGTGTTCTTCTGGTTTTGTGTAGTTACTGTTTTTCTTCGCCCTAATTTTCTCAACAATAACCATCAAGTTACTTTTAGTGCTAACCAGTTTTACATTCAGGATCAAGCAACAAAGAGGATTCTCCTATCTGGAATTGCTAATCAGGGGCTATATCCACTTACAGCTCTTCACAGCACAACTCAATCAAACATATGGCATCAAAGATTGGGGAATCCCCACAATAAAGTATTAAATAAAATTGTCATGCTTTTCCTTTGCTTAATATCTCTAAATCTGTTACCATATGTAATGACTGTGCTGAGAATAAAAACTATAAGCTTTCGTTTCATAGCAGTACTGACTCTTACAAATTGCTAGAATTTTTTATCTCTGGGGAACTTTTCCCCATACATCTACTGGAGGTCATAAGTTTTACATTACTTTCATTGATGAATATTCTAGTTTTTGTCTTTTTTTGCCTTTACAACACAAATCTAAGTCCACCAACACTTTCATAACTCTTCACAAAACACTCAAAACTCATTTTCAAACCAATATTAAAGTTCTAAGAGCTGATGGGGGAGTAGAATACACCTCCCATGCTTTACAAAAATGTTTACAAGATAATGGTATTATCAATCAATATAGTTGTGCTTATACTTTGGAACAGAATGGGAAAGTCAAACATAAGAATAGACATTTGGTTGAGACTGCATGCACTATGCTCAATGCGGCCAACCTTCCCATTCAATTCTGGGTGGAAGCAATACAAACCGTAAATTATCTTATAAATAGACTTCCTTCCACACCTACCATTTCAATCACCCCTTTTCAACTTATGCACAATATTCCACTTGAATATCACCACCTTCGCACCTTTGGGTGCTTATGCTACCCTTGGCAACCTCAACACATCATTTATAAATTTTATCTAAAAGCCACTGCTTGCTTTTTATTTGGTTATAGCCCTCCCCACAAAGGATCCAAATGTTATGATATTCAAACAAATAAAATTTTCATTTTTCACCATGTTATATTTGATGAAAATATATTTACTTATAAACAAACTACTCAACCTATACCAAGCACTGTCACTCATAAGTCATAACCAAAATTACACTCATAACCAAAATTACACGCCCCAGTCTCTTCTTCTCCCCACATCCACTCTTTCTTCAATACCCAACAATTTAACTCAAAAATCTATCCTACTATATTCTCCATCCACTCCTACCTCTCGGGTTGTTGCACCTAACACTCCCACTATCACTTCTAATACAACAACACACAACACAACTTCTCAAGAAACTCTATCCTCTTTCGCTATCCTATTTAACAAAAACAAAAACCATCAAATGGTTACTCGCCAACAAACTGGCCATGTCAAACCCAAGCGCATCCTTGATCTTCAACGCATCATAACACATTCTGACACTCCAACAATTTATACTCAGGCTGTTAAAAATCCTCATTAGCGGGCTGTAATGTCTGAGGAATTCCTTGCTTTACAAAAACAAGGCACATGAGATTTAGTTCCTCCCACATGGGCACAAAATATTTTGGGTAGCAAATGGACTTATCACA